GAGAAAGAGGCAATGTCATTCACAGGATTCGACTTCAGCTTATCATAAACTATAATGAGATATAAATTATTCTACAAAGTTAATTAAGGATTCAACAAAATTTTATCATTTATCTGACATCAGATTTAACATTTATTTGACAAGTAGTTAATACAGACCATTAAGTGCAAGCTACTTCACCGCTAATGAGAGCGAAAATAAGATTTTATTATTTGTAACGAACGCGGAACAACAGTCTTTTAGTCGAATAATATTCAACGTTTTATCCTACACCATTTGTTTGTTTTTTTTAAATTTTGACGCAATTGCTAATTTTAGTCTCTATGACAAATATTATATTGACTACAGAAGTCGTCTTTATCGCATCGGATATAATAATGAGCTAGTTAATCCACTTCGAACAGATAAGTAAAGATTATTTAAAAGCGATTGGAAAAGTAACTATTTTCATCTGTTTTTACATAACTATTAGGGCACGACGATTGATTAATTTATTCATTAATCAATATTTCCGGGCTCTAAACTACTTTGGACATTAGTCCTAAAAATGTAATGTTTGTTGATACACGGAATATCGTGGTGTTCTTTACCCGTCGGTTGGGGCGGTACGGTGCCAACCTACAAAAGCAGTTTGTGGAGGTACTGTATCAAGTACCTCCCCACGAGACTCCCACCGTCGAGACCGTCAGTCGGGATAGGCTCTAAGCGTGTGTAGTGCATGCAAGTGTAGTAGCGTAATGCATGCAAGTGTGTGTGTATGTAAGGGGTGAGGATAGAACAAGGAAGAGGAAGGAAATACCGAGGGCGGGGTGTGGCCCTTTGAGTATTTCGCCGGCATTTGGGCTTGTGTTGGCAAAGACACCGCGAGAAATTACTGATCAGAGCCACCGGTCGCCAGAAGACTCCCCCTAACAGGGACTGACATCGACCTACGTATATAACAGGCAGGGTCGCACGGTTTACACCGTTATGTCTGGTTCATATTTCTAAATCGTGAAATCGTCAGGAGGTTTAACTCCAAGGCTTTGGGCCCTCCATCTCTTAAGGAGTGGTTTACGTAAAGAGATAAGCAGACCCATTCCAGCGTTCTGATAGGAGGCCCCGGCTCTTGTAAGGATTCAATGGGCTTAATCATCATATCACATAGCGGGAGTTGAAACTCCGATACCGACGGGACTCAAACCCAAGACCTCCCTGTCAATGCCACCGTAGCGTCAACTGCTTCTGACCTAAACTCAGCCAGTTAAAGCAGTCGGCCGCTGTTTTTGTTATTTTTTATTTCAGCTCGCATCAATTTTTGGGTCATTATTGCGACCATTATTGCGAGTAACAGTACGGTAACTGTGACGATGAGACGATATGTTAATGATAGGGGTGAAAGGACAAACACAATACTACCATGCGGGACTCGAACCCACGATCCTTCGGTCCGAGATTGCCACGGCACTACTGCCTTAGAGATCTCGGCCATCCGAACCGGCAGTCGGGTGTTTGTTTGGTTATCAAACAATTACCGCGGGTTACAGCGTTGTTACACCGTTCTCGTCCCCTAAGCTGAACCTCCTGTTCGCTAGTCTTACGGATTCGAACGCTCTCTAATCCGTGCGTCCTGCTTTCCGCGCGAGTAGGCAGGAGGCTTTGGCGTGCGGTGGTGGTGGTGGTGGGGGGGGGGAGGAGCATCAACGCTGCTTGGTGAACTGCTAATTACCCCCGCGCGACCCCAGCGCTCCGAGCGGACATGACTCAATCTCGCGCGCACCTCGCAAAACACGCCGCACCCTCTTCCGACACGTAGGGGCACGGAGATTTTACTATTTCTAATGCATGCGAAAGTTCCTGCGGTCGCAGTCTTGGCTGGCTGGGAAACGTCGTCTTCTTGACAGTGTTGCCAATTTTTCTGTCGACATTTCGCGACTTTGCGATAACGGCTGTGTGACGAAGCGACTGAGAATCGAGTTTTTTTTTCGGGCGCGTCAGTTACTGTGGTCTGACCGGGAGAGACGGCTCAGGGAATCAACTGATGTCACTAACCAGGAGGTCCTAGATTCGAGTCCCAACGCTAGCAGGTTTTGTGAAACTAGTTAGAGAGACGAGTCGAATACATGCGCTTTCTGAAAAGGAGAATGCTGGCAGCCGGCTACTCTTAATGGGAGTTTACCATTGTTTTTTTCCATCTACACCAGGCGAATGTCGGAGCGGTGCCCTAACAAATGGGCCATGAACCGTGCGCGATCTTTCCTTTCTCTTCCTCGTCCTATCCTGACCCTTACTTGCACACCCTTACACTTCCATGCAGTTCACTACTACATAAGCCGGGAGACTGATGGCGAGCTTAGATCTTATCCCGGCTGGGGTGATGGTGATGTCCTGCTGGGTGGGTGATACCTGGTTGAGGGAAACCCAGCTAGCTGGCTTGTAGGTCGGCGCCGGATCTCACCATCCAATGGAAGAAAATCCCCGCCATCGCTCGATGAAAACATGCACTACACTTAAGGGTCCATTGACGATAGTTGACGCACTCACGGAATCACTAATAATGAATTAATCAACTATTAAAAATAGTTCCGTAAGTGTAGTGCATGATTTAATCAGTGAAGAGAGCAGTGTTCTTGTTCCAATAAAAGTTGACATCCAGTGCAGACCTCGGCGTCCGTTTCCCACTTCGCGTACCTGCCCCTAATGGAAACCACCGCCCCAGCCAAGGAAAGCTGTACGATTTCGATTGATCTCCAGACATGTGTGGTGGTATAGAATATGTATGTGTGAGTGTATTTAAGAGGAAGAACAAGGAAAAGGAAGAAAAAAAAACGCACGAGTTACATGGCAAGTTAGTATCCTACTCTGACATTTTTCAGATATCGATCGGTAAAACCATGGAAAGCGACCGATCAGAGCAGCCTATCGACAGAAATTTTCACCAGACGGTGGTTGACGAAGGTGCGTAAGTGTTTGTAGAGGTTTGTCAAGTAGAATGTATGAAAACTACCGCGGCCTCATGAAATGGAACGGGTTGGGTTATTTCACGCCTCATGCATTTTCAAATGCTTCTGTCAAAATGCAACCTTCGTCAGGAGTTCAGGACTGATTGTAGTTGTTTTGCAGTAGGGATGCGGGTTCAACAACGAAACATCGATGTTTCAAAACATCGGTGCTGAAAATTTAAATATTGATAATAATAATACATCGCGCAAAATTCATTGATGTTTTTAAACATCCATGCTTTTAAGGGTGGCTTATTAACCTCGACATTGGAGAAACGGAACACTTAGTTTGACAGGGGCCGTTATCATTGATTTATAATGAAGATTTAGATAGCAATACTAATTATAAATAATGAGAACGATTAACAGCCTGGAATCCTGCCTGCGAACCTGGAAGCCTGGAATTCTGAATGTCCAGGGCCATGTCAAGGAATCAGAGCTTCAGCTTGCCGTTGAAGGAAGCGGAAAGAAGTGGGAAGATCATAAGCCTACTGAACGTGCGTTGATCGCCCATTAAACGTGAACAATACGAGAGGCGTTGAAAAAAGAAAAGGCATCGGTGTCATCACTCTTTTGCAAGATATCTGCTCAATGAATGTCGTATGAATGGCGTTCGCTTCGTTAAAAAACATGAGCTACAATGGTATTATATAGTGAATGCACTGACATAATCAGTTATTTTAAAGTAGTTAGAATGTATTTGCTCCTTAATTTAGTGACAGAAAAGTATATAACGGCGTTATATAAATTCCAATTACTTGTAAATTAAGAGACAAATACAGTCTGACTAATTAGAAAATAACCATAGACAGAACACATAAATAATAATCTTAAAATTAATTTCATATTTTAATCTATACAAAACTATGATTATTGAACTTTTTCACTCACAACCAATCAAACAAACGTAGAAAAAATAAAAAATATCGAGTGCAAAATTTAGCTGTTAAGAACATCGGTGCTAATCAATAGATGTTTGAAACATCACTATCGTTTAATCTCATCCTCCCTTTGCAAAAGTTACAGACTCACGAACCACTTTGCTGAAAACAGGAGTGAGTGCCATAGTGGGCACAACTGGAGACGTAGCCAATCACAACCGATTAGAAGAAGTTTTCAATGCCTCATAGAATGGTAAAGACAATGCATAAACAACTGCCTAAGTAATGGTTTATCTATACCTATAAAGAACAAGAAAAACAGGTATATGGCACCTATTCTATTCTACGAAATCTTCATTTGACTTTATAAGGTTTTGCTTTGTTTCAGGGTAGAATTAAGCATCTCAGACATATATAGTAGGATAACAACAACCCACCTTATTCTTCCCCTTCCCTGTTAATCTGTCTCTCTCCTTCCCTCTCCATCCCTTTCTACCTGTCTTCTCCCTCCCTATTCTCTCTCGAGTACAATTCAATTCTCTCGCCTAAACAAGCGAGCACCGTTTGTTGGCGACGCTATTCAGGAAACCCTCGGAACAAAGACAATTTGTCTTCACACGTCGTGTTTCTACTTCTGGCCCTTCCCTCTTGATGTCCCCCTCTCTCCATTCCGCGCTTTCTATTCATTTCTCCGTTGTTCTCTTTCCCAGCTTCCTTCCGGTGGAAAGTCACGATTTGGATTTCGACCATTGATCGGCAACTCTACGTTTTCAGATCTGCTTCAAATCAGTTTTTGGCTTTTAATCTTGTTACAGAGCATTCGGGATAAAATGACACTGTTTGGAGACCATAAATGTAATTTAAATTGATTGATTATATCTTTAAATAACACCAATACCAATAAACCAGCAAATGATTATATCTTTTTTATGGGGCGCGTCAACTATTATGGTCATTTGCGGGCGGTCTCCGCGAAGCTAATTTTCTCCAAAATGTCGGTCGGCCGTTATTGTCCGAGGTACCAGATTCGTTGAAACACGTGATGAAATAAACGGAAACGGTAGGAGTGAATTCGGACGATCACTTTCCGAAAACATCGATTGCCGGAAGATCTGCTTCGTTTGGTTTTGTCCGTCCGATGACGGCCGATAGAAATGTACAGCTCGCCAGTGACCTCCGCCTAAGTGTAGTGCTTGTTTTCATCACGGGAGGTGGCAGTGTTCTTCCCTGGTGAAGAAGTTAGCTTGTTGTTTGCGGCGGCGATGGTGTAACGGTTAGCGTACTGGACTGTTGTACCCAAGTTGGCGGGTT